TTCTCTTCTGTTTCTATTTTTTTATTTCTATTTCTTAAAAAATGATTAAAAACAAAACAAAACAAGTTCAAAATAAAATAAAAAAAGGATATAAAATTGACAAAAAGACTAAAGATAAAATAAATAAAGAATATAAGGATTAAACATATAACTTCTGAAACCAGATAACTAATAAATTAGTTTTATTAAACTAGGGACTAGAGAATAATTAACCCTCTTTTTTTAAGCAAGCAAAGCATAGGATTCATGACTTGCAAGTTATTTTTATATTTTAAAAGTATTTTTTTTAAATAATTTTTTATATTTTTTAGATTTTTAGATTTTTTTATGTGATAATGTTAAAAATAAATTTTTAAAAATAAAAACATTATTTAGATGTATTTTCAAAATAAAAAAATACTTTGAAAAACAATCATCACTACAATATCAAGTGAGCTTCAAGTCTATTTATATTTATATTTCAAAAGAATTTTAAAAAAAATCTATTTTTTTTTATTTTTTTATATTTCAAAAGCATTTTTAAAAAAATCTAAACTTTTTTTTTATTTTTCCTTTTGCTTCAAATTATTTTATTTTTTTGATATTTTTAGATCATTTTAATATGCTAAAGTCAAAAATAAATTTTTAAAAATAAAAAAAATTATTTCAATATATTTTCAAGTAAAAAAAATTCTACCACTATCAAATAAGCTCTTGAAAGCAACAACAACAATATTGTCAAGAACTCATCATATACCTTATATAAATAGAAGTTTATTATGCCAAAAAGCAAGGTGATGAATCAATATTTCATTAGTATATCTTCACTAAAAAATTTTAAATTAAAAAAATTATAAATATAAATTTTTTAGAACACAAATACACATTGATAAAAATATATTAGACCGGGTCTAACACTAGCTAAACTCAACCACGATTAGGCTTGGTAGTGTGTCAAGCCTTGTGTTGGATCTAAAGCTACCTGGACCAGCCACGATTGGGTTTGATAATATGTTAAGCTCCAAGCATTGAGTTTGGTGTTAACTAGACTTAGCTATAAATGGACTTATTAGTACATCTGGTTTAAGCATATTGAGTCTGACACTAATTAAATTTAAAAAATAATTAAGTTTAACACCATCAATTTTATATAAAATCATGAAAGAATTATTTTTTAACAAATAAATTTAATTAAATAAGTCAATCTTTTATAATCAGCCATGTCATTATTTTTTTAGTTGGATAAAATAAGTAGAATAAAGTTTACAATACAATTTAAAGTATTATAAATATAAAATTACATTTTAGTTTTTTTTTTTTCATAGAAAAATAAAGTACAAATACACTGTAAAATCTTTAAAATAAAAATTTATAATTTTTATTTTTTATTATATGTATATTTTAAAAATATCCTTTTATAATATTATTATATTTTCTTTAAGAAATTATTTATATGAACATTGTAAAATCTTTATTTTCATTAAAAATTTTTTTTATAGATTTTAATTATATTAATTAGAAGCTATCGATTATATTGGCTAAAAAAAATAGATAAAATTACTATAATCAATTGGTTAGCCGACTGTTCAATGCAAGAGCCTTCTTCCTCGTCTCCCGTGGGTTCCAAGCTTCCAACCATTGAAGCTTGACTTTCAAGTTGTTAATGACATGGTTGTTCTCATTGTTTTACAACCCTTGAAGTTTTGCTTTTTGGGCTCTCTTGTTTTGGTGTTTTTGGATGATTCCAAGTCTTTTTTATGTTTGATTTTGATACCCAATTAGTTTATTTTATGAATATGTTGTTTGCTTGGATTGAAGCTAGACCGGAGGCTTGTGGATGAAGAGATAGCAGAACGTTGTAGTGAGGAAGAGAGGGAGTTGGCTTATAGAGAGTCTGTGAGAAACAAACTGTTCTAGGGTTTTACATCAAATCTTGTTTCTTCAGGTGTTAGAGATACGAGTCGATATCTTGTCAAGCATCATATGGCGAGTCATTTCATGGTTAGATATTGGTTGTTATGTTATTGTTGTCTTGCGTTTGATGGAATGACTTAAAGAAAGAGAATTCAATTCAAAAACTTGATCTTTTCATGGACTGCATTATAATTTAAAGAAAAGAAAAGAAATTAGTCTAGTAAGTCTTATTTGTAAAATGACAGCAGGTTCATGTATTGGTTACAACGGCAGGTGGCATGGAAGAAGATCTTATAAAATGCCTTGCATCGACATACAAAGGTGACTTCTCTTTACCTGGGGCTCAATTACGCTCTAAAGGGTTGCATCGCATTGGTAACCTGTTGGTTCCTAGTGACAACTACTGCAAATTTGAGGATTGGATCATTCCAATCTGTGACCAAATGTTGAAGGAACAAATCGAAAAGGTATTGCTCTCATTGTAATAACAACTATGTATCGGCTGAGCTTGAGGAATGATTGCAGAGTTCTTTTCTTTTCCCCATACATTACTTTCTCAGACAAGCACACCTCAAAAGTGGTTTCTTTAGATATTTTAACTGAGCTGCTTTGCTGACATATCAGCAAATAACAGCTGCATCTGCACTTGATTAGCAGATATCTAAATCTGGACTGAATGATTGAGTGATTTTAAAGAGTTGAGATGCAAAACCAAGAAAAATTGAAGTGGCAGTGCTTGATTGTTATATAGGTTTTTTCCTGGTAAATTGATTGCCAAAACCTTCATATACTAATTTAGCATTTTACTTTACTCATTTGATTCGCTGTTTTAGAAGAAAATAACTCTTTCTTCCTTATCACATCTTCTTATGGGTGTTGCAGAATGTTTCCTGGACACCTTCTAAATTAATTGCTCGCTTGGGGAAAGAAATAAATAATGAGAGTTCATATCTTTATTGGGCATATAAGGTAAGTGTTTAACCAACAATAGCTTGATACGTTTTATTTATAATATTTTTTTTACACAATAGCATGTGCTTTACATGCCACATTGTTAGGCATCCCCCTTTTGCTATTACGCTGTGAAATTTGTAATTCTTTTGTGCATCTAATTAAATAATGATAAAAATTCCCTACCTGTAGATTTGAGCTGTCAATCAAACCTGTATTTATTTTGCAATGTGAGATAGGAAGATAAAAGACATGACTATCATGATGTATGAGAGGAATGATCTAGAAGATCCGATTAATTATTCTTTTGCATGTTATTTGTGCTATGAGAACAATGGCATGAAAATTTGTTTGAGTTGATGTTGTTTTGGATGTTTTTCAGAACAGCATTCCAGTATTCTGTCCAGGCTTAACAGATGGTTCTCTGGGCGACATGTTGTGCTTTCATTCTTTCCGCAGCCCTGGTTTAATTGTTGACATAGTTCAAGGTTGGTGTTTGCTGCTACAATGTTATTTCTTTATGATAATTAACAGTTGAGATACAAACACCATACTAAATAGCACTTTGAACAGATATCAGAGCCATGAATGGTGAAGCTGTTCATGCAAGTCCTAGAAAAACCGGTATTATCAATTATCATTCTTGGAGGTGGGCCTCCAAAGCATCACATATGCAATGCCAATATAATGTGTAATGGTGAAGATTATGCTGTATTTATCAACACGGTACAAGAATTTGATGGGAGTGATTCTGGAGCTCATCCTGACGAGGTTGTGTCAAGGGGGGGAATACGAAGTTCTGCTAAAACTGTTAAGGTATGGTTTGATTTCCCCTCATTCGTCCTTTGTTTGTGCCATTTCAGGTTTTTTTTATCAATACCACTTGCAGATCCCACAGTTAGCCGCGAGCATCATAGTTCTGTGTCTTATTTCCATGTGTTAAGAATTTTGAGATACTGTTGCAGTTTTTTTGTCCAATGATGTTCTTTTGTCAGTGCAATGAGAATTCATCCGCCTCTTTGTTGCATTTAACCAGGTCCATTGTGATGCAACTATCGCTTTCCTTCTCCTAGTTGCCGAAACATTTGCCCAGAGGAGAAATAGTTCCTGCAGCGGTGCTCAAAACTAAAAGCTCTGTGCAATTTTTGGCCAGGTGCGCACTCATTTTTCTTTGTAGTGCAATTGAAGATTCCACAGGATGGTGGTAGTGGACTCCCCAGAAATTTTTTTGGGTTCCCAACATTGAGGGATATGACAGAAGACACTGCTATCAGCCGCCTCTCACCATTGTTTCCCTCCAAAAGAAAATTAAATTTAAGATGTCAACAGAGTTCGTTGGCTTTTCCATTAATTGGAGGAATATTCTCCCCTCAAACCTTTTCTTGTAGAGCAGAGGAAGGCGTGTGGCAAGACTAATATCTCATGACTGTCAAAATGGGCTTTCTGACATAAAAGGGAGAGAGATTTATTGAAGTTATAGTTAAAAGGGAGATGGATATCTGACGTAAAACAGCTTGAGACCTAACAAGTAACACCTGAAATATGGTCCCTTTAAGATTCCTCTGAAATTAGATGCAAAAATTGCAGAGTTCCTGATTTCATTACAGGGATGCTGTAGGAACATGTACCATGAATCTACTATATATAAAAAGATTAACCATGCTGATTCATTCCCAATAGGGTTTAGTTACTGTCGAGATAAAAAAACTGGAAATAAAAGTGACGTGTTTCTCTCCAAAAGTCTTGGAAACATATTTATTTTATCCTTGTTTCTGTTTTTTTAACAAAGTACGATTTCTATCTCTTATATAGTTGTCCATTCTATTTTGAAAAATTAACAAGACACAAAAAAAAAAAAAATACATGGTACAGGATCAATCGAACACTCGTATTCTAAGATAGCCCATTTTTAGGAAGAAAGAAACTACGTTCCTGACATGAACGGTAAACTTGGCATAAGGCTCTACAAATTGAAAGAAGCTCCACCACTGACCCTCGTTTTCAACCAAACAAAAGTCGCAACAGACTCGGTTGAACAGAGGAACTTCTCTTGACAAATATAGAACCTTTCTTGTTATCCACTTATTTGCATATAAAAACGCCATCTGCCTTCATTGTAGACATAACCTCATCACCTGATGACCAGTTTTCAAAAGATGTCTCTCAAATCCTCTTCCCTTTTTGCTCTTTGTTTCTCCTCCTTTCTTCTCTTCAATACTGTAAGAGCTTCTAACATCACCCAAATCCTCAGCCAGTACCCTGATTTCAGCACCTTCAGCAGCTATTTGACACAAACCCAACTTGCTGGTGAAATCAACAGCCGCCAAACGATCACGGTTCTAGTGGTGGAAAATGGGAACATGTCTCCTCTCTCTGGAAAACCAAACGGTGAGATCAAGAACGTGTTGAGTGAGCATGTAATACTCGATTACTATGATGTAGCAAAGCTGCAAAAATTACAAAAGAAAACTGCAATGCTCACCACCCTTTTCCAGTCCAGTGGGCAAGCCAAAGGCCAACAAGGGTTCTTGAATGTCACAGTTTTGGGTTCTAATTCAGTTGCCTTTGGATCAGCAGTTCCAGGATCCAGCCTTAGTTCAAATTTGGTTAAGTCTGTTTCCTCTCAACCCTATAATATTTCAGTCTTGCAGGTTAGCAATATCATTGTCCCTGCAGGTACAGGCAATACAAATTCCAGCACTTCACCTGTTCCTGTAGGCCCACCGAAAACTTCCCCAACACCAGCATCGAGTCCAAATAAGCCACCATCCACCTCAAATCCTCCACCCAGTAAGGCACCTGCACCATCCACAGCAAAACCTTCACCCACTCATGCACCTGCTGCACCATCAGCTACTCCGCCTGCCATGTCTATCTCGCCTGTGGGAGGACCTTCACCAACTACTGCCGATGGCCCTGCTGCAGATTCTCCAGCTCCATCCCCTCCAGCAATGGATGGTCCTATAGCAGCAACTCCTGCTGCTGATGGCCCTTTGGCAGACGTTCCTTCAGACCCCAAATCTGATGCATCTGTCATTAATACTGGAAATAACCTTGCTTTATTGGCACTGATTCTGCTCTCGGCATTTTTTCTGGCCTAGATTACGTTAATATGAAGTTAGAAAGATTAATCAGGTTCTTAGTCCTTTGGACTTGCCAAATTGATGGCAATTTGCACGTACGTCAACCTTTTTACTTGATATCATTTATTTTGTTTTTGGCATTCAGTTTCAACTGTACGTGCCTTCAAAATTGTCTGTAAACCATTCCCAGAAAGGAATTAATCATTTGAAATGAACACTTGAATCATTGCAGAGAAGTAGAGCTATGTTTAAATCGTTGTATGCTGCTTTTTATATTAATCAAACTGTCTATTTTTTCTTTTTTAATCTACTGCCCTATAGCATTTCTTTTTTAAGCTTGAGGACATTGGGGACTCATTTGTGCAGCCAAATTATTGTCACTGACAAGTGATGGGATTGTCACACCTTTAAACATATATATAGAGTAGATTGATAGGTCTAAGCTTACCAAATAAAAAAAAAAATCCTGGATAAGTCAAACGAGTTTGTTAACAGAAATTTCTATAATTTTTAATTCAACCATTGAATTAGGTGAAATCTTGAGATCCGGTTTTTTATGTCAATAGCTTAATTTGTAGTGCTAGTTGAGATTGTTTTCATACCCAAATAATGTCCAAGAACTATTGCTCCAATGATTCTCTCCTTTGCAAAGCTTGGAGCAGAAGCAGTTGTGCATAGCATCTCCAAGTATATCAGTTGTGAAGCTGATATAATTGCAGGTAATTACAAGCTTTTTGGTGATTTAATATTTTCCAACTGTTGGAAAACATGCATAGGATTACTCATTGTCACCAACTCGATTGGTGGAATCTTAGAATATGGATTTATGGGATCTGTTAAAATTCTTGTCTCCAATTTTAATTGATTGCAAAGTTTCTAGCTGTTTTTTCGTGGTTTAACTTGAAGGAGGCTTAACAATCATAATTAGTTGAATGCATGGAGCGATAGGAGGTTTGAGAGGGATCGAGATGGACTAGGCAATCAGATTTTTTCCTTTTCTTTTTCAATCTTGGAATTGGAAACTTACAGCATGCATGGCGGCAAGTCTTAGCTTGACTGGAGCTGGATAAACAAGTCATGATTCTTGGCTCCATTTTTATTGCTTGGTTATTATTGTAATGTCTGTCGCTCTCCAGAGTCTTAATGTGCATGGGCATTAGCTTCGGCTATTATGAGACCCCATTTTTAATTCATCTTGTACCATTTTATTTGATTTTTGCAACCTCTGATATAATTCAATAATTATTAAATTTAGATCAAGTAAAATGCAGGAAGCGCACTGATATCATTTATTTGAGATTGTGATTATAGTTATTTTTTAGTATTTTTTACTCAGAAAAATATATTATTAATATTTTTTATGTTTTAAAAATTATTTTAAAAATAAATTTATTTTAAAAATAATGTAAATTTTAAAAAAGGAAACCTTCATGTCTCTATTGTTTTTGTTTCTATTTATTTATTTATGAGATATTTATTAAATTTTATGTGATAATAATCTGCTTAAATATAAAAGTGTCCTATTTTATTTCATGCACCATTTTTACAAAGAATAATATATAAAAAGACAAGTAGAAGTATTAGTGTGGGTTTGTTTTAAAGGTGGAAGTTATGATTTGGGTGTGAGATCCACTAAACAAACTATAAAAAATAAAAAATATTAGATTATCACCCATACACCATTTTTACAAAGGATAATATATAAAAAGACAAGTAGAAGTATTAGACTGCTCGGCATAGCTTCTGTTTCGGAGTGAAGTAAAAAATATATATATATTTTTAAAAAATATTAAATTAATACTTTTTTTATTATTTTGACTTGCAAGTATTAAAAATATAAAAATAAACTATTCTAATATAAAAAGCTAAAATATTTTTGAAAAGCTCCCTGGAAAGAGACGGATTGATCCCAAAATGTTTCTCTTTCGCTTTCTGTCTTCTGTCCTTTCAGTCCCCATCTGACAATTCCTCCAGTGCTCGATCCTTAACGGATTCATAGTATTTTTAATATTCTGCATACAAGAGAGGTGTCTGTGTCCGTGTGAGTACGTATCTGTGGGTAGGAGAAGAGGGATGTCTCTAGAGACCAAGTACGTGGAGCTTTGTAAGGGTATAAATGGCCTTGACAAGATCATCTTGCGTGAGGTTCGAGGCTGCTCTGCGGAGGTATATTTTCTCTCTTTATCCATCTCTTGATTTGGTGTAATGAATGAAACCCAATTGCCCTATTTCTTCATTTCTTTGAAAATCTACTGTCATTTCTTTTATCCTTTTTCTGGACATTGATTGGTTTTTTATGTTTTGAAAGGCCAATGCTGCTTTATTCAGGATACTAGATCTGAACCCATTTGACTAGGTTCAGTGTTATGGGTGATTATGAATTTAAGTTTGTTTATTTTTTGTTAAATTTTTAGATTTGATAGTTGCTGTTACTGGGGTGTATCGAAAAACAAGGAACTTTGGTAGTACTGAGCTAGAATATTGTTTTTTTTTAATCTCATTACTAAAGGAATCGTGAATGTCCCCACTTTCTTGATCTCAAGTGCATTCTTTGTGTGCTGTTTGCTATAATTTTCAAGCAGAAAGCATAGAAAGCTTGTTGATTAAGAGTGGTTTTATGACCAGGTATACCTGTATGGAGGTCATGTCACATCCTGGAAGAATGAACATGGGGAAGAATTGCTTTTTGTTAGTAGCAAGGTACTTCCTGTTACTGTGATATATAAGCTGTATAGATCAGCGCATGATGATTTTCAAAAATTCTCTTGATTCAGTTGTTTCTCTTTACCATTAGTTGTAAGAAGTAATTTACTCTCAGTTGTTCAGTGATCGGTACCATTCTGTTACAATGGTTTTTCTAGTGTGGTTTGTTTTCTTAACACCATCTTTTCGTTGATAAAGTACAGAATATTAGAAAGTGACCATACACTTGTGTTTGTTGAATTATTAGTGAAGTTGCTTCAAAAATTCATTTCGTGAAAACATGGTGCTACTGGAGAGTGCTTGCAACTTTGTAGTGAGATTGGTGCTAATATAACTAGAAGGTGACAATTTGTCTTATAACCAAATCGTATGTATATATGTCTCTATTTGTCTTCCACTGGAGGAATATACATGAATTTATTATGTCATATGAATTTAATATATCCTTGAGACCAACAATGAAGGGTTTAATGTAGGATTTATAGCATACAACTGTGGAAACATATTCTCATATTTCACTCTTTGCAGAGGGGAAGTCTATTGACTTGAAATGCATAATAGTCAATTTATGCTAAAAGTCTAGGATTATTCTAGATACATTATATAATCTTTTTAATGAATATTCAACCTAGAAGACCTAAACTGCATAAAACCTTCGATCATAACTCCTAGGAAAATGATTGCTTCTTTTTGTGGGTTTGGCATCATATAAGCTTCAGGAATAATAAATTGCAGTTTTTATCCATCTTCAATTTAAACTACTCAAAGATGATGGTGATCAGCCATATGTCTTAGTCATTTCTTGTGCCTGGGCTTGGCTAATGCATTCTTTCTTGTAAACTATATTGATGGTTTGTGCAGGCTATTTTTAAGCCTCCAAAGACTATTCGTGGAGGTATTCCAATCTGCTTTCCTCAAGTATGTCCGTCTCTTATGCAAACCAATCATGTTTTGCCACTTAAGTTATTCTTTCAAAGTAAATTAATTGGCATGTGCAGTTCAGCAATCTTGGTTCTCTTGAACCACATGGATTTGCAAGGACCAGGTTTTGGACCATTGACAATGACCCCCCGCCGTTCCCAATAAATAGCTCCAACAAGGCCTTCATTGACTTAATACTTAAGTACTCTGAAGAAGATGTGAAGATCTGGCCTCACAGGTGCGTGACTCAGGATGGAGTTTTATACAGTTCAACTCGTCGTGTCCTGCATTACTTAAACAACATTTGAAGCAAATTATTTGTGTTTCCATCTCAAAAATCAAAAGCATTTAAAGATAAGTTCAGTAAGATAGACTGGTGTGTAACTTAATTTTTTTGCTGAAGTTCGATCTAGTTTTATAGGAACAGATATTATATAATGTCATAGTGTGCTATTGGTACTCATATTGTTTTATGCCTTGTGATATTTATGGATATAAATATATTTACATTAAGATATTTGCATCTGTGTATTTTTGGCTGCCAGTTCTAATAGCCAATTAAGTTATGCTGAATACAGACAAATTATTTGCAGATATGAATTTCGCCTACGTATTACTCTGGGGCCTGGAGGAGATTTGATGTTGACCTCACGCATTCGAAATACAAACACTGATGGGAAATCATTCACATTTACATTTGCGTATCACACATATTTCCATGTTACGGATATCAGGTTCTTTGACGAGATTTATTTATTGTTGCTGTCTTTAGAGCTTTTTTTTTTATGTTACGCAGTTTATTGGGTTTTCACTTATTTTGCAAATATTTTTATCTTTGTTCATTGTATACTAATCTTAATCTTTTTTATTGTAAATCAACATTGAGTAGAGATGTAGATGCGTAATTGATGAATTGAACAAAGTCATAGTTTTGGTCTTTGTGATAGAATATATTGCTTGCATCTATGTGTTTTTAATTTTTTAATTGATTTAGTGAAGTGGTTCTTTTGTCTAGTGAAGTGCGGGTAGAAGGACTAGAAACACTAGATTATTTGGATAATCTGAAGAACAGAGAGCGATTCACTGAACAAGGAGATGCAATAGTCTTTGAATCAGAAGTTCGTATCTGTTTTCTAAGGAAATGCCAATTGTTTTTTTTTGTGTTCTTTCAGCATCTATTCATACAAATATTTTGTGTTACTTAGTTCTATTCTTTTCTATGAAGGTGGACAAAGTATATCTCAGCACACCTACCAAAATTGCTATCCTGGACCATGAAAGGAAGAGAACATTTGAATTGCGGAAAGATGGACTTCCTGATGCTGGTGAGTGAAATTTTGTTTGCATGCATATCTTGGTGATAGGCTGCTAGCAACCAATGTTATAGAGACTCCATTAAGATTGGGAAATGTATAAACAGTTTTCTCCTGCAGCGTGAGCTGCTATTGCCTGTTGTCATATGTTCATTTGTCAAAAGTAAATGTTCTTCTAAATTTGTAATAGTTGGCATGTACCTTTGAAGGTTTCTCACAGCAGCCAGTGGATCGGAGCTTGTTGTTTGAAATTTTATTTAGATTTTGTCACCCAAGGGTCAAAGTGGAGGAGCACTCTAATTGTATCTTTGTAGTAGAAGTCTCATGTTAGGTTTCCATAAACTGTGGTCTTGACATCATTAAATGACAGTATTTTTATGTTCCGTGTTGTTTCAAGATAATCTTTGTTTTAAATGGTGGAACACATGCCATTTTGGGCAGTTGTGGATGAACCTGGACTGATTAAGCGAATGTAGGACGCTGCAGTTTTTCTGTACAAACTTTGAATCCTTTCAGTCAATATAAGTGTAGTTATTTTCCCCTGCAGTGGTTTGGAATCCCTGGGATAAGAAAGCAAAGACAATACCTGATCTTGGTGATGATGATTACAAGCATATGCTGTGTGTAGAGGCTGCTTGTGTGGAAAAGCCGATCACTTTGAAACCTGGTGAAGAGTGGAGAGGAAGGCAGGAGCTCTCTGCTGTTCCTTCCAGCTACTGCAGTGGCCAACTTGATCCACAAAGGGCATTCTTAAGTGACAAGTTTGGGTTTGCATGATGCATCTTTTTTACAGGTACAACCTTAACATTGAAACATGTAAACTGGGTTGAGTATCATTTCTTGAGAAGCAATAATGTTAAGAACGGGAGAATCTGACAATCAGAGAACTTGAGCATCTCAATACCCTGAATTTATAGGGATTCACAATCGCAGGTGTAAAGTTCACACATGTCCCCCCTATTTTGAAGTGTGAGCATTTTGCATTATGCTGGACATCATTTTGGTTGTTTACATATGAATGTGTGCCTGTGCATGTCTTCTGAGTACTCGAGTTAGTCTTCAAGTGCAATTTTGACTTGTATTTTTTGGCATGTGTAAACATGACACAAAAATAATTGAAAGATATGGATTTATAAAGTTGATTTTGCACCTTGGGCAATCCTAAACATATAATATTTTCCTCTACTGATTTATACGATATTCTAGAATTGTGTTCCTCTTCTTGTGTGAACTTTTAGTCTGATAGTTATAAACAAATTTTTGCAGGTGCCCTTTTTGCATCATGCATTTATTGCTTCCAGTGGATTCTTGCCAGGATTTTTGGAGGCAGGGTTCAAAAGGGCAAGTAAACAATGTCAGTTGTGAAGAGATCTAATTTGTATTTTGTCAACTTCGTTGACTTCTACTGAAAGAAAAACGAATGAGTGGAAGAAGAGAAGGAAAGCATCTAAAAGTTTCTAGGTTTCACCCTATTCTTTTTACCCTTTTTTTTATTGTTTCGTTTTTGAATGATTGCATTTGTGTTAGTTGAATAATAATATCCTTGGTTTAATGAAATTCTATCGTTTTTATAATGAAATCTCAACTCTGGACATTGCAAGTAGCAGGATTTTAGTTTTGGCTGAGTTGGTTTCATGATTGCAGATACTTTGCCATCCTTTTTGTTTCACTCTAAAACTCATCAATGTTGATCATGATATGTGAACCCAGCTATGAAAAAAACTTTTTTCTGATAAATGGCTTCTATAATTTGTTGGTTATCTTTACATGTCTGGCAATGAAGCCATCATCCAGATAACAAGCATGGTTCGCGAGCACCTTTCTGGATTGATTAGCTACAATCTGATTTGTATATCGTCATGGTTATGGATAATCTCAAAGTAAATTCTGCTAGAAGCTTTCACATGAATGCTAAATAATTTGTTTCAAGCAATCGGTACTGAGTACCACTTGCTGTTTGTTGTTAAGAGCAATCTCCAATCTAATACAATCATAATTGTCTGCTGCTCTTGTCGAAGTAAAGTTGGCTTTTGGTTCCACACTAGCCATAAAATTGATGTAGGATTCGTGTTCTTAAGAGTTTTAACAAGCCTAAATGGCATGCTAAGGATTGATGCACGATCTCCAAGCTGCGATGTATGAAAGAAACAGGTGAAAGTTGCTGTAAAATAATTACATTGATGGCTTCAAATAAATCTTCAATATTAATGTTTTTTATTTTAAATATTTGATTAAAAATTGTATCGAGATTTTTCGATGCAATGAAAAATTCTGTTAATAGTATACCTATTTATTGTGGTAATTTATAATTAATAATTATTAACCCGTATTCTTTTAAAAAAAAAATGAAATTAAACTCCACCTTATCTCACAAACGTTCTAGTTGGATAATGCTATTTATCATAGATTTGAAGACCAAAAAATAATATCAATGAGCTTCTAGTGAGCTTTTAACTCATTGCGTTGGTAAATAAAAAGATATTGTTCATGTTTAATAAAAAATTAAAAATATATATAAATTGATAAATTAAAAAATAATAATTAAATACTAAAATAAAAAGATAATCTCCCTATTAAATATTTTTACCCTGATTATTATATATACTTGATTAATTTTGGTTGTCAAAAATTATAATTTTTGTTTTTATAAATATATCATGCAAATACAACTTATTTATATATAATATAATAGAAAAAAATTAAAGACAAAGTACAATATTTTTTTTTGAAGTACTATAAAAAAATTAAAAAAATACAAAGATTAATTACTATTTTTTTTCAAGATTAATTAATATAATAAAAAGATGAGATAATAGGTGCTAAATAATTTATTAGCCGAAACTTCAAAAATCAAATTAAGATTTTTCATGCCATAATGAAAATGCAGTATGGTTTTTTTCATTAAATTTATTTCTTGTTATTTTAATTACAAATTAAATTATATTTTGTAAAATTAATCTTTAATTTATATTCAAAATATTTCTTAGTACTTTATATATGCGATAACATGCAAAAAAAAAAAACATAGAATAAAAACATGCTAATATAATTTGTATTTAAGAGGTTTCAAGGAAAAAAAAAAGATGGAAAAAAAACACTGTAACTAACCTTCTTAAAATGTTACGAGGAAAAACACTAACAGGTGGAAAAGAAACCTTTATTTAACAGCTAGAATTTCCAGTTTGCGGACAAGAAACTGGAAGGTGAAATGAGAGATGGGATCCAAAACGGTGAGGTTTATTATTAGTATTTCTCAACTGTGAGATTTCAATTTAAATAAAAATTAAAAATGTCACTGAAAAACCAACAAAAAATTCGACGGAGAAAGAGAAAACCTCAAAATGATTTGAAATCCCAAAAAAAATGTGTGTGGATTTTGGGAGAGAGAGTGAAAGCAAAGAATTATTAAGCCAAGCTGCCAGCACTTTGTAGTTTTGTGCAAGAGAGAACGAAGGATGGTAGCCAGCTAGCTGCTGCTACATCGTATTTGATTTCTTTCGGAATCTGAAGATTCATACAAGGTCAGACACCATTCAAAGCTTTCTCTCTCTAGAATCTCACATCTCCCCTCTTGTATTGTATTCATTTCGAAAAACCCATTATTTCTAGCTCCTTAGCTTTGCTGGGGGGTATCTGAAAAGTTGAAATTGATAGCTTCTCCTTGAAGAAAGGAGGGGTTTTCTTTATAGGAGTTGCATTGAAAGTCTTCAAATTTTTGGTAAGATCAATAAAGGGATTTTGTCGTTGTGAAGTTTGGCTGTTAAGATGACTAGGGTTTGGCTTGGCTTCGTGAAATTTAAGTTTTGGGAGGGAAAGTAACAGTGATTTTTGCTACTCTTTTGTCTTTTTGGTTTTTGTCGACTATGTGGTGAGAGAGATGCAACCGTCATCTCAGCATTCGCGGGTAAATCTCACGGAGTTGAAAGTTCAGATAGTGAAGAGAATTGGGGCAGATAAGTCGAAGTTGTACTTCTATTATTTGAATAGATTTTTGAGTCTGAAGCTGAGCAAGGTTGAGTTTAATAAGCTCTGTGTTTCTGTTATTGGGAAAGATAATGTCCTGTTACATAATCAATTTATACGTTCGATTTTGAAAAATGCTTGTAATGCCACTGTCCCGCCGCCGCTGCCAAGTCCTGATAAGGAGGTTCCTACATCTGCAAGTGATTGGTCCTATTCTTATCCGAATAGGAAGGCAGATTTTTCTTCTCATCAGTCAACCATTACAGATGATAATATAGCCTCAGAAGATGGAATACAGAAGCTGGTGGAGCATCATCAAGAAGGGGAAGTTTCCCTTCAGCGTCCTGCAAAATTATCACAAATAAAGCAGTCAACTGATGGTTTGGTATCTGTACATAGTGAAGAACAGAGTGAAATATCTGAGATATCTACTCCACTTCAGGCACCGCTTGGAATTCCATTTTGCATGGTGAGTGCAGGTGGTTCCCGTGGGCCTTTGACTTTAGCAAGCAATGACAGATGTGCTAGCTCGTATGATAGTGGTGGATTGCTGGATACACAGACACTGAGAGAACAAATGCAGCAGATTGCAGCAGCGCATGGCCTTGATGGTGTATCAATGGACTCTGCCAATTTGCTGAACAGCAGCTTGGATGCTTACTTAAAAAGGTTGATCAAGTCCTGCATTGAACTCATTAATAGAAGGCGTGGATGTGATTTGACAAAAAATAATTTCCAGGAGAACCGTTCTGTGGGGAAGCTTGTTAATGGCTTTCTTCCAGGCCATCGTTTTCAGGTGCAAAGTGGCAATAGGATTTTAGGTGGAATGCAAGAACAGAGATCCCACTTCCTGATATCTTTACTGGATTTGAAAGTTGCAATGGAGCTTAACCCACAGCAGCTTGGAGAAGACTGGCCCTTGCTGCTGGAGAAAATATGCACGCACCCATCAGAAGAATAAAGTCCTGGAGAAATTACGTTTGGGATGTGATTAGTTTGATGGCTAGTCCAAAGGAGCAGATTTGTTGCGGTCAACCCCTTTCTTAGCCTCTAGAATTAGTTTCCTTCTCTTGTCCTCCAACTCTCCGCCTCCAACAAGATAAACTTGATCCAGAGCAAGAGAGTACCACGTTTTATAGCAATCCATCAAAGGTAATCAAAGAAAGGAATGCCCTGTTGTATTCTTAGCATAGTTTTTATGCTTTTAGTTGAGAGAAATTCTTAGAAACAGTTTTGCAGGAATCATTTGTCTAGCTTGTTAGGAAGGTAAAAATGCAAGGTGTAAAAGTTCCTGTACATGTATTATCTACAGTGAAATTGTTGGGGTTCTGAATATTAACAATTTACCTTTTGCTGATTGTTGCTGATTTTAATATGGACCAGGAAATTAATTGTTGGCTTTAACTCCTCTTTGAACTAACATACATTTTCTTTCTTTTTGTCATTTGATACTAAAATTTGTTTTCATGCACACACTCATTTCCAGAAATACGATCGTGAAGTTTCTTCATTTCTATCTCTAATGTTTCCATAGGAGAGGCACTCCCTGTCTCTAATATCGTACTGTGGCTTTTTAAAGTATTTTCTTTATAAACCAAGTAGTTTTACTTGTGGACTAAAACCAGGAATCCTTCTCCAAAAAGGTTCAAGGGTCTTATAGATAAAAAGGAAAATTTATTTGTGAAAATTTATTTTTTTAGTTTTAGATTAATTATTTTAATATCACTTTAATTACTAAAATTAAAATTATATTCTATAATATAAATATTTTGTAAATTTTATCAAGTTAAGTCAATGCAGAGAATCAAGATAGAAGAAGAGAAAGAAAGAATTTTGTTGATTTAATAATAAAAACTTATTATTTCATATGAATTATGTTATTTTATAAATGATTAGAGAAAATAATTATTTTTTTAATAATTTTTTTAATAACTTAAACTAAATCCATCTATTATAAACAAACCAGACCTAGCACAAATAACCAATATATCTTAATTAGTTGATGACAGCCAAGCGAGTGTAGTCGTGAAGGATGCTAAACCAACAAAGAGGTATTAATTGTAGTTGTGAAACGTGCTAAACCAACAAGTATTAACTCTACGTGAAAGCCCTAAAGAAGACTCTGGAAAGTGACAATAGCCCCTTAGACATACTAGAAGGTAGTTACAAGGGTCGAGACTCTTTCCATGGTTTTAGTGCCATAAACCATAGAGTGTGAGGTGGATTGAGAGTTGAAGAACAACAAGCACTATTTGTTAAGAAATAAGTTGCGAATTAGAGTTTTTTACTATTCTATAATGAGATAGATAAAACAATGATTATGTTGTTAATTATGACATTAACAATGCTAGTAATGACAATAAATATGATGTCATTAGTGATGTCCTTATTAATAAGCTAAACTACAAAGAACATTCTAAAATTGTTGATTTAGGCTATATGTATCCTTTTAATTTTGAAATTTGTTATTATCATAATTAATTTATGAGTACTACAACACATGATGAAGAAGTGATTGTCATAGCTTTTCCCTCGCGTGTTAATAGTGATGTGTTTGTGCTTGAGACGCTTTTCTCGTTGAAATGGATTTACTATGTGAAACTGCAAAATGGTTTCCATTTGATGACTATCTTGTTCAGAGTTACCGTCTAATAAGGACCCATCGATGGCCGAAGGAAGAGGAGCCCACGCAAGAGACTTCCGACCCCTGTCTTACGGTTCATGGTGGACTTTTCATGCTCAAATATTGGCCGCCGGCATTTGTCACTTCATTACCAATTGACAGTCCTCCATGTGCAGAATCACCATTCTAGAGCAGGCCAAGATGGCTTTCTTTATCATCACTATTTTGGAACACATTGAAATGTCTCGACCTTGCTTTGTAGATGAGAACACGTAGATTTCTTGTGTTATTCTGCTCTGTTTTTTGCTGTTGTATTAATTTTCAATTAATCAATGGATATCAGCAGAACCCATTTGCATGAGAGATGAAAATTAAAATAGTTATTGTGTTTTTTATCCATAATAACCCTGTCTTTTCACGTTACCATTGGCAAGAATCAAAGGCTTTCTTAAACTCCCCTTGAAGCAATCAACAAAGCCACGGAGCCCGAATGCGTTTATTTTTGCTTTGCCCATGTTTGCTTTGTGCAAGTGTTCATCATATGAAAAAAACTCACACAACTCAGTGGCATGGTTGCTTGTGCAAAAATTTCAAGAATTCTGCCCGACCTGACGAATATTCCCTGTTTGAAAGCATCTTGATATCTCCCCTTGCCTCTCTCCCTTTAGACGTTTCAGAAAGTGACGGTTTCTTTCAAAATTCCTTGGTGCTACAGTTACTCTGTTAGCATCTTTCTTGTAGAGAGGAAAATGATACTCTACAGGAAGTTAATCAAATTCCATTAGTGTATGGTTTTATCTGGGTGATGATACTATTAGCTTTACAGGACTCCGTTAGCATCTTTCTTGTAGAGAGGGAAATGATATTCTAAAGTAAGTTAATCAAATTCCATTGGTGTATGGTTTTATATGGGCGGTGATACTATTAGCTTTACAAGAAACTGACTGTTTCCTTTTCTCTGTGTATGGTTTAATCTAGTGTCTCTTGATCAGAAATGGAAAATCATGTTATATGGATTATTGAGCATGGTATAGATTGCTTTCATAACTGGCCTGTGTTTTAGCAATCCTTCCCCCCCTGTTATGGATAGGGGGGCTGGTCTTCCATGTTCTCACATTGGATTACTGCTTGTTTCTACCACAGTATCCTTTCTTTCCTGACATTGCTTGTGGGGAAGCTTTCATTTATGGCAGTGGGTTATGACAAAACATTGTGTATTTACAGAAGGCACATCATGTAACTGATAGTTGTTTACTCGCTATAAGGTAAACTTGACACATTCATATTGTACCGATTTGGATACCCCTGCAACAGCTCTGTACCATGCTACTGCAATGACGGCCGTTGGATAGCAAAATGATGAATGCCCATGTCGAGTTGAAAGACAAAAGGCAGCATATTATTCTTACATTATATCAAGCAGGAGTTTTGTATCAAGAGTGATTTGCAGAGAAGGATGAGGCTGCACTGTGGTTAGACCATACAAAAACTCTCCAAAAAGGCCGTTGCTTGCGCTTTGGATGACTTGCCATCAGCTCTGATTCCGATCTCCTTAGAATTTCCCACATCACTTGCACATCTTCATATCCACATGTCTGTACATCATTGTGCAGCTTCAGAAGATTAGCACCTGCTCAAAACACAGGGGGAGAAAAACTTGTGAGTTACACATGTATTTTCTAGTGCTGAAAAGGTATCATAAATGAAGCTGTGACCCAGTTGCTTGACCTTATAACTAAATAAAATAAATGACATTAACCATCCGATACCTCCAAAGTGATTGGGATATAAGACTATTCTAAAGTTTGTTTTGGTACATTACAGGATTTATTGAGGTTTCAGTGGTGGTCCTTACTCCTAGCACCAGAAGGATTAGGAGTGTACACGGACCCATCTGGGGAGCACATACGGCCACTAAAGTTGTGATTAGAAAAATCACTTTTTCTGCTGTCAGGACCATTACTGAATGACCTAAGCATAAAGTCGCACTAAAAATGATGTTGATCCTATTGCAGGGCTCATCTTTCGGCTGCTGATGTTTCCCAGAAGACATTTGTATGTTTCTTTATGCTGTTAATTGACCATTGCATCTCCAGCTTTTGATATGGAATTTTTCTACTAGATGGCAAGTACAAGAAGCAAGGCAGTTAACAATTCCCTGTCAATTTGATGGTAGCCATGACTCCTGGAATTTAAGCTTCATCCTTTTTTTATTTGTTTGTTTTTAAGTGGATTGATACTAGTGGATGATGCTAGTTGTTGGGAGAATCTTATAAGCTATGTATCCTTCATTTCACTACATAAATAATTGAATAAAAACAGAATTTGTAGATTACAATCTTCTTGTAATGAACGTTACAAGCTTGTGGAAGATCCATTCATAATTTTTAAATAATTGTAATAATTCTATTAAAAGGAGAAACCTTGATTAATTCGTACGACATTTTTATTTTTTTATTTCTTCCAAGTTCCTTAACTTTTTATAAACTATAACTACTATGTAAATGAGAAAATTATTTCAATCCCATCAAAAAAATCATAAGAATTCCATTTTTTTTATTAAAAATTATTTTTTTTCTTTCCTTTCTTTTTTTCTTCGTATTTATCTCTCTCCTATATCATAAATACTCAAGAATTACAGCGTAAAATCTCACGTCAATTTTAAGTAATTAATTTTCCTTATTCGGGTTACTACCTAACACATATTTTTAGGCATCTCCAAATTGGCAATTTCATGTTGAATTATGAAAGAATAATTGCTTGATTTGACAATTCTGTATAGTTGAAACAGTCTCAGAATGTCTGTCTTCAAGTGGATTTCTCTTTGTGGATGTTTTCATCACAAATGGAATCTTCCAAAAAAAAAAGTTAAAATTAATTCATGAACAAGTTTTCTAGCAGCTTTGACCTACTAATCAAGCTCAATCAACAATAAAATCTTGCCCCGCATCACTGAATCCTTTTTAATCATCAAAGATAATTATGCTGTGAAAGATGAACACTACCAAGACTAAGCATACTTCTTGATTATTTATTTCCAAACATTTGATTTAGGCTCTTTGAAAAATAACTTCTGCAACATACACAGATTGAAAAGAATAAATAAAAATAAATTAAGAAAAGGGAGCAAACCAAGAAAAAAGCTGCAGATTTACGAGGGAAAATATAAGCTGAGGAGAAAGAAAGAAGAGACGCACCATTTTTGCGAGCTTTGAGACGAGCAGAAACAGAAAGCCAAACTCTCCTAACAGGGAATATCATCTTATGCCAGAAATCCATCAACTTATCTTCAACTTTAATTTTCTTCGTCCTGGCTTTCCTTCTCCTGCTGAACCCAC